TGGGGGTGTACCTTCTCCATCTGAGGCTCAGGCAGCCCTAACTCCGTTCCTTCTCCTCTTCTACCCACACCACCCCTCAAAACCTAGACTGCTCCAATGAGAGCACCAGACGGTACAGTTTTAAGACTCAAGACCAGTCATAGCTGAGAAATGAAAGTGCTGACTTAGAAGAAAGCCCCAAGGTAGTCTCTGTGAATGCAAATGAAGAGACAAAGCAGAAAGGACACAGACACAGCAGATGGGAGAGAATTCAGGAATAATGGGTGCCACTGAAATAGGAAACTGAAAATGAAGGTGTGCTTATAGATTTATGTAGTACAAAATCCAGATGTGGTAGCACATACCTGTAATGTCAGTTACTCCAATAGCCCAGGCAGGATTGCTGGAGCCTAAGAGTTCAAGGGCAACCCTGAACCTTTTTATTTTTTTTTGTAAACCTTATGTTTTTGTTTTTTGTTTTAAAGGAAAAAAGAAACATCAGATACAGTGGCTTATGTCTGTACTCTTAGCTACTTGGGAACCAGAGCTTAGAGGATCAAAGTTCAAAACTAGTCCAAGAAAAAGTTTGCAAGACTCTCCCTACCCCCTGCACTTAATTCAGGGGCTGGGTGCTATCCTTTACCATTTTGCTTTCTTTCTCAAGGTTAGCACTCTACACTTGAGGCACAGGTTCACTTCCTAAGACTTTCATCTCAATAAACAACTGGGTGTGGTGGCGCAAGTGGTCATCCCAGCTACACAGGAATTGTAAGCAGGTGTAAATGGGAGGATACAGATCCAGCCCAGGCCAAGAATAAGTGGAAGACCCTATTCAAAATACCAAAAAGAGCTGAGGGTGTGACTCAAATGGCAAAGTGTCTGCCCAGCAGTTGCAGTGCCCTGAGTTCAATCCTCAGTACCACAAAATTAAAAAGAAAAAAAAAGGAAAAAGAAGGGAAAGGAAGGAAGGAAGGGAGGGAGGAAGGATACACAAAATTTTCCATGGAGACTTAATACTTGGAATACTAAGATTAAAAGCATATATGTTTTTGGAGATTTTGATATTGAAAGTTCTATGCTAAGACAAACTAAGTCTGGCACTGGTGGCTCACACATGCAATCCTAGCTACTCAGGAGGATGAGATGAGGATCAAAAAACCAAACTGGAAGGGGCTGGGAAGGTGGATCAGTGGTAGAGCGCTTGCCTTGCATGCATGAGGCCCTGGGTTCAATCCCTCAGCACCACATAAGCAGGAAAAAAAAAAGCCAGAAGTGGTGCTGTGGCTCAAGTGGTAGAGTGCTATCCTTGAGCTGAAGAGCTGAGGGACAGCACCCAGGCCCAGAGTTCAGGCCCCACGACCGGACCTCCCCCCATGAGCCCTCCCCCCCAAAAAAACAGCCTGGGAAGAGAAGTCCATGAGACTCTTTACCTCGAATTAATCATCAGAAAACCAGAAGTAATGTAATGGCTCAAAGTAGTACAGTGCGAGCCTTGAGAGAAAAAGCTCAGGGACAAAAGGCTCAGGGACAGTGCCCAGGCCCTGTGTTCAAGCCCCACCACTGACAAAACAACAACAAAGTCTCATAAGACAAACTAAGAAATTTTCAGGCATCTAGAAAAATAGAAACCAAACATAAAGATTGGCTTAGCCTTAGCATTCTTTATAACAACCAGAGCTGTAACACAACAGAGTAATGTCTTCAAAGCTCTGAAGGAAAATGTGGTCTACCATAGCTACACTCTGTCCTTGTCAAACGAAGGCACAGGTAGCCATCGTCAAACAGCATACAATCACACCTTACCAAGCTGATAGATGAGTCATGATTCATAAACAAACAAAACCCATCTGGGGTATTGAAGCCTGGTGAAAGACTGGTAGGGGAACACAGTATCTACTTAATTCTGGAAGTAAAGGTAGCTAGGAGAACACATAAAAGCAAAGCCTTGTAAGTGTTAGAAACATGGAAGATGTTGATGTTAAGAGGCAAAATTCACAGGGGTCAGAGAGAAGTACCTAGGGATTCATCTTTCAGAGCAAGAAATTGGTTGCTAGTATTTGAAATTGATGAACAATGTTAAACAGCATCTCCTCTTCCTTCTCTAGATCCTCTTTCCACTCCTCCTCTTGATTTTCTCCTCCTTCTGCTCTTTTCTTTTTCCTTTTGCTCCTCTTCTTCTTCCTTTTCCTCTTGGTCCTCATGCTACTCCTCCTCCTCTCCCCCCCCCATTTCTCTTCCTTTTAAAAATTATTCTTAAGCTAGGAGAGAGTGAGCAAAGGGAGGGGTGACATCCAAAAAGGAATATACTCTTTACCTGACTTATGTAACTAACCCTTCTATACATCACCTTTATAATAATAAGAAATAAAAATCATGCTTGCCTTAATCCTAGGAGATTTTGAGACCCTTGCCTTTTGTAGTAAAGGAACATTTTATGTAAGTCAGGAATTCCTTTCTTTTCACTTCAATTACTTTTATAAATTCAACTAAAATTAATGCCTGAAAATTTTAAAACAGCTGTTATGTTATGAATTCAGTGCTTTTGCTGGTTAATTATTCTTCCAGTCATCACATTTAAAAAAGCCCCCAACAAAAGCCAAGATAACTACTAAATTTGATTTCTGTATATTATTTCCTAGGAAGTCTGACAAAGAGTTTCCACTTCCAACTCAGAGACCAGTGGTTATACTCAGCTTTCAGAAAGCAGAGAGGTAAAAATCTTTTATTCTATGTGGCTAATACTAAACATGGAACTCTTGGAAAATAAATAAGTGAATAAATGAATAAATGAAAGGGAAGAATGAATTCACACTATAGACAAGTTTTCTCAGCCATAAGCAGTTAACAGTTTGATTTAAAATAAAAGAGAAATGGAGGGAAGGAATCTCTTCTCAACCTATTCTGTGAATTCAGTCAAAATATAATTGTAAACTGATTTTTCCATTAATTATAATTTTAATGCCTGAGGGTTTTTTCCCTCTGAAAACAGCAGACTTTTAAGCTTACGTTAGTTATACAGGAGGGAGACAATTTCACTGCTACTTTCTATGTGTACAATGTACCCTAATCAATCCCATCTCCTCTAAATCATTTTTCTCTCTTCCCCTCCTTCCTACAATAATTTCAATAGGTTATATTATCCTATTTTTGCAATTACAAACAATCTATTTCTACCATATTCAACTTCCTTCATCCTCCTTGTTAGTACAAACCCTACCAGTCCCCATTCACCAAGTCTATTTCTCTTCCTCACAGTCTCTTTACTCTTTCCACCCTCACCCTCTATTGATCAACAGCTTTCACAGAGCATCTTTATGCTGTCTTATATATATTTCCATGTGTTGGAATCTTTTCTGTGGCATCTCTTGCTGTTGGTCTGACGAGTTAATTTCAACATTCTGTATTTGCTCAGACTTGCTCTAAAGATCTATTTTGGAGAAAATTCCATGTTCTGTGGAGAAAGTGTATTGTGCAGTTACTGGGTAAAATATTCAGTTAATTTCACTTTGTCTAAGGTTCCACTTAATGGGAAGGTTTCTTTGGTGGTTTTTGGCTTAGATGACCTATTGGGTAATGAGTGGGGTATTGAAGTCTTCCACTATTATTGTACTGGGTTTCTCAGCACTTTTAAGTCCAGAAGTTTGTCTAATGATCCTGGGTACACTACTATTTGGTGCACATATGTTAACAACTGTAACTTTTTCTCTATGATTTTAGTAAGATATTGCAAAGTAAAGGCTGATATCATTTGACTTTTACTGAAGAGTCTCATAATAAACTGGGCCAAGGGCAGGGGGGTGGTGGTGGTGGTGGGAGAGGGGATGAGTAGAGATAAAAGAAGTACACCAAAACTATGAATGGAAATCATTTAAAAGAAGGAATATTCTACAACAGATGAAGAAATTTTAATTGCTTTTCACATTAAACATATTTACCACAATCAGCTAACAGAAATTACTGCAACACTAGTCAAGAAGACCATGAAACTAAGGATAAAATGGTCACTGTGAGAAAACTTCATTTAATGTGGATGATTTAGATACATTTTTCATGATAAGATACAACTATCTCCAAGAGAAAACAAATAGTTCAAATCAGGGAGACATGCTAAGGTTTTAAATGAATGATTGCCTTGTTTAGAACCCTTACAGGCTAGGGCACTTTAGGTAAAAGAGATGAATTAGATACCAAGGGCAAAGGCCCATAACTCAGGCCTTATTTACACTTCTGGATCTATACAGATCTCATGAGAAGAGTGAACTGCTATTTTTGGCAGAGGGATCTTCATTGGTAGCCTTGGATATGACTGATTATAACTGAACTATCAGGTAGTTAAGGAATTGTTTTTAAAGGGGTAGCTGAATATTTTCACATATATATTATTAAGGCATCTAAATTTTTGGTGTTTTCAGTATATTATTTTACTGCTATTTTTTATTTATTTATTTGCTTTCATTTTGTACAACTTTTATATTAGGTACTGAGTTAATTCTTCTACTACTACTAGGCCAGTTTATCCCATTTAGCAAACACTAAATCAAAATCTTGAAGAAAGGGGAACTCTAATGTGAGAACCCCAAAATTACAATGAAAACAATAGCATATATTTTTAACCATCATAAAAGTGAGTGGTAATTAACTACTATTCTTTAACTTTGGAAAAATTAGAACCAAAGTAAGTATTACATGGCTAGCTGCCCAATTAAATAGCTACTAGATTTTGATTGAGACAACACTGACAGGATTCACATATGAACTATAAACAAAGCATATAAATATTTAGTATCTTTTCAATAGGACATATTAGTGATAACAGCAAGGACAAAATTTTCTCCTCTGTTGTGACTGCACACAAATTATCCAGGTCAAATATCAAGAATACACTGGGAATATCCCCAAGCCAACAGCAGAATATTGAGTAAATAAATTTTAGGAAATTCCGGAAGAAGAGAACAGAATTTTAACATGGATGAGCCAGTGCTTAAATAATTAATGACCTAATCAAGACCTTACCACCAAAATGCACTACAATAATTTTTTATTTAGTTTACACAAAGGATCTATAAGTACAGGTTGCAGAAAGAAAATGTTTAGTGCTATTTACATTCATTTTAAAACTCTGCTCTATACAAATTTAATTCTGATCAGTATGAACAATATTTTCGTAGATCTACTGCATATAAAGCCTTTTCATCAAAGCATTAACAATGAATAAAATAACCTGAATGCATTTAAAGAAAGCTGACCATTTGAACAAATTTACACATTTTTAAGGGCCAAGAACACTTATTAAGTATAGAACATAATGTCAGCCTGCAACTTCAATTTTAAAAAGGCTAAAGTTATTTATATGGAGTATTGTTCTATATTCTACACGCCAATCTATATTCTATAGTTAGGCATTTTATAAGTCTTTTATTAAATATATTCTACATATATTTGTAATTTCATCCAGGAAGAAGTCTTCCCAGAGAAAAATATATAAAATCTTTCATATTTTTTACAGGTTTAGATGAAACTAGCTCATGCTTTAGTGCTGTGCAAATTGATTTTAGCATATCATTAAATTATTGGTATAAAATAAAAGAGTGGCATCCTTCATCATGTATGCCTTGAAAATCTGCTTTTGATTTTGATTGCAAGCACTAACACCCAACACAAACTACATAAAGAAAGGAAGTTAGTATTAATGGAGGTTTTTTTTTTTAATTTCAGAATTCATTTGAACTCTAGTGAGTAAGCACAATGCAGGACACAATTATGAATGAGTGATGATTATGGAAAATTTCAGTTTTCTATATTCAAACACATAAAATGATCAGTCACTGAGGTTTTCGGATGTTTCAGCACAGCGAAAGCCTCCGGCAACTGGCACCCTCCCACATTAAGGCTAGAGACGCACTCTCACCCCTGCTGTGCTGTCTGATGAGCACTCAGCCACTGAGGACTCAAGAGTGCAGGATGTGGTACAAGAAGAAAACCAGTTTTAATCAGCCCTCTACCGAGTGCTTAAAACAACAGGCACATTTTATTTTTTCATTTGTTGCAGTGAAAATAGTCACACTCAGCTTAATAGTTTGGGCCAGTGCAGCCAACATGGCTGACTTTGGTAGAACTTGCCCAACATTTTAGTTTCTTTTTCATTTATTCCCTCTTGAGCTGGCCCAATCACTGACTTCATCAATTGCTGGGTGTCTTCCAGTGTGGAATTGTGTATATGAGTATTTCTAGGTACCAGAAACTCTTATAAATTCTGCTGATGAGGAAAATAATGCCAATCTTTTTTAGTGCAAATTGTGTTTGGGACACTTGATTTGTTTGTTCTGGTGATGAAAATTGGTGTGGTGGCAAAATAATTTTTGCTGTGAAAGATAACTTGTTAACTTTTCCCCTGGAGATTGACTGCATTCAAAAACCAATATATTTTAAAACTGCTCAGCTTAAACAAAAATACAAGAAATACAAAATCATAGTGAAAAATGTTCTTGGTTTTTTACTTCATGAGAAAAGATGTCAGTGTTCATGAGTAATTCAGTCCCATGGATGTGCAGACAGACTGCTCCTAAAGGTTTCTGAAGCTATGCTGGGTCTCCTCTTTCCCAGCAGCACGAAAGAAAGACAGCTCACTCCCCACTAGGCAGGCAGCGTTTACAGGATTACACAACAGTTACTCTCTCCAGTCTTTTCACGATTCCTCTGACCTAGGGAAAACGAAAAACAACAACATAAAACCAAAACACCTTGTTTATTAGAATGCTTGCGGAACCACAGGGAGGAGGGGCAGACACCCAGGTGTTATGAGGAGTAGTTTCTTGAAAACGTTTGCAGATAAGATGATGTTAAGCAAAATGAACCCCAAGATAGGGACACAAGTGGTTTTTTTCTTTCTTGCTATTGTTTCTAACGTATTTATAATGTACCATGTGATTTTTTTGTTTCTTTGAATGTTCCTCCCCCACGATATAACCCCTGTTTTCACTGTATTTGATGTCAGTGCCCTGCATCTTGTATATACACTTTTCTAATTTGGGGAGGGGAAGGGAAAAAACAAAATGCTTAAATAGGAATACAGATTGACCCACTGTAACAACGAGATGCACAAGACACTATGTTGAAAAACGAACTTTACAATTTAGGCAGTGCGGGGTGAGGGGGGAGGAGGGATGGGGGAGGAACAGGACAGGATGGATGACAACTGTAATGGAGGTGGGAGGGAAGGGATGGTAGGGGAAAAACAAAGGAGGAGGCAGCAATGCTTGATAAGAAATGTACTCATTATCTTGCTCATGTAACTGTAACCCCTCTGGTACAGCACTTTTACAATAAAAACTTATTTAAAAAAAAGTTTGCAGAAAGCGAAGGAGAGGTGACATTGTCCAAAACAGAAATGTGTGGCTGAATTATGAAATTTTAACACTTTTGTACATACCTTAATAACCATAAAATTATATAAAATGTTTGCATTAAAAAAATTACACATGTGTAACAAATAATCTTTTTGGGCCAGGTATCAGTGGCTCCTTCCTATAATCCTAGCTATTCAGGAGGCTGAGATCTGAGGATTGCAGTTCAGAGCCAGCCTGGACAAGAAAGTCTAGAAGACTCATCTCCAATTAACCACCAGAAAAACTGGAAGTGGTGCTTGTGGCTCAATGTGGTAGAGCCCTATCCTTGAGGGAAAAAGCTCAGAGACAGCATCCAGATCCTGAGTTCAAGCCATGACCAACAAAAAGAAAATAAAGACAAGCAACTAAATAATCTTTTAGTTTTGGCACATTTCAAATGTATCTAGTTGTCTGACAAGCTTATTTCATAACTATGAAAACTTCCTTTCCTTCAGAATGTCCAAGAAAAACCAGCTAGTTTTGAATGCCTACATGTGGCTCTTTAGGAAACAGCTTACCTTGAGAGTTTGGCTCTGGCAATGTCTCTCTGGCCACCAAATGCATCACCGTTGTTTTTCCAAAAGGAAGTTTTAATGCTTTGTGAAAAGTAGAAGAAATCTGGTTACTTATACGTGTCTCTATTAAAATCACTAACTAGAGCTAAAGCCGCTGAAGAAGCCCCATTGCTTTCTGTATGGTTTCCACCATAGGCTGAACTTACCATGTAGGGCATCTCTGCTATGAAATGAGATACGGTTCCTATTGTCAGGTAACTTGCCCAGTATAAAAATGATCCTTGGGGGCTGGGAAGGTGGCTCAGTGGTAGAGTGCTTGTCTTGCATGCATGAGGCCCTGGGTTTGATTCCTCAGCACCACATAAACAGAAAAAGCTGGAAGTGGTGCTGTGACTCAAGTGGTAGAGCACTAGCCTTGAGCTGAAGAGCCCACAACCACCTCCACCACCACCAACAAAATGATCCTTGGTAGGCAAGGACTAGGCTTGACACATATATCCTCACTATTTAAGGAAGGAGATGAATAAAGATCAATACAAAATAGGTTCATCTCAGTTACCATCTTTAGCCAAGACAAGACAAAGTACCTTAAAAAGATTTTTGTTTGTTAGGTCCTTTACTCCCAATTTCTTGAGTGTGAAGCCGGAAATATTTGTACCTCACTTCTCATTTCTTTATTCTGATAATACTAAATAATTCCTTGATGAAACTTCAAATGATTTTTTAAGGTATCCTTTTTTATTAAGCACAGAAAAAAGCTTAGATTGGGAGATAGGATTCTAAATTTAATTACTGTCAACTGTAGTAAAATTATTGTACTGACTAGGCTGCTTTAATGTAGAAACAAGAAATGGTGAACAATTGTAAATTCTCAACTTAGTATTTTAATTTTTTTCATTTATTTATTTATATATTTTTGGGGTCAGGTCGTGGGGCCTGAACTCTGGGCCTGGGGACTGTCCCTCAGCTCTTCAGCTCAAGGCGAGTGCTCTACCACTTGAGCCACAGCACCACTTCCAGCTTTTTTCTTTTTTGCTTATGTGGTGCTGAGGAATCCAACCCAGGGCCTCATGCATGCAAGGCAAGCGCTCTACCACTGAGCCACCTTCCCAGCCCATCAACCTTGTGTTTTTAAATTAGAAAATTTTTCCTTACGCTTTATGACTTTCTTTTGAATCAACCATAAACTTGAATAAGGTTTATAATCATTACTTTGCAAGTAAGACCTTTTTGCCTCCTGCTTTTCAAGTCTTGCTGTATACGATGACTGTAAACGTGTAGCTTTTCAATAGACCTGACTATTTTCAGTTATTTTAAAGCAGATCCTTTCATTTGCCTACAAATTCTAAAATTGTCTGAATATATGTGAAATATGTAATATATATTAATCAAAATAAAACAAATTCCAATGGCAGACGATGTGCCCCATGGCGGGTACTACTGAGCTACACATTCTCAACCACATATAAAGAACAATAATAGCTAACAATTAAGTGTTCACTATGTAGCAACCACTGTTCTAAGAAGGAGTTTATCCCTTCAACCTATGCAGCAGGCACTGTTGTATCTCTATTATCAGTGAGGAGAAGTGGCCCAAGGTCACACAGCTAGTAGGTCATAGGGCTGAGACACAACTTAGTCTGGTTACGAAGTTTGCTCTTTCAGTCACCTTACTAGATTGTTGTACTCCTGACAACCGCTTACTTTTATTTGATTAGCAATTATATTGTAGGAATTAAATTGGAAACATCTCTTCTTTACATTTGAAAACCAATTATAAACTTTTCCTAGATCATGTGTCAAATTTTTGCTTAAAAATATAATATCTAAATTTAATTAACCAGAAGTACAATACAATTACATTTATAAAAGAGTAAGGAGTAAGTATATATACTCCTATTTGGAGATAGATTTTATTTCTGAAACTAGCTTTAAAATAAAATTTAAATGAATGTAAAATGTAAAATGGTGTATTAAAAAATGCAGATTCAGAGTTTAAATGAATTTTTCTCAGGAAGTTCGAGCATTAGCATTTAAAATAAACTGAGTGATACTACCATGGACAGACATTAAATCCCAACAAAAGTGACTCCTTACCTCCTAATGTGACATTTCCATGTAGAAATCGTCCTTGATAAATAAGTCTCAGAATATTTGGACTGCTGACCTGTTCTTCTTCCCAGTCTGAAAAGAATCCACAGAACTGGTTAGGTGCATTTCAACACACGCTTGAGGCACTCTGTATTGTTTAAAAGTCCAGACACAAATCAGTTTAGTACATCACAGAGACACTTCCTAATAATTGGAATAGTCACAAAATAGTCACTTCAGGCTTTGCTCTTTTTCAGTTTTTTCATTAAATAGCAAAAAGGTACATTAAAAAGCAAAAGTTTTTGCCTTTTTTTTTTCTAGGTCTGAGATCAGGACTCAATTTCCACACCTATGTCCACTTTCACACTGGCTAGTACTCTACCAACTACGTCACTAGTAGTTGCCTTTTAAAATCACACAAAAATGTGCCAAATCATAGGCTTGAAGTTTAAAAACTTCATTGGGAGAAACCTAATTGTAATAAACACACACACAAACACGGTGTATGCATGTACATCTTTATATTATATATAATGATAGAGAAATATATCACTTGAAAATTCATTTCAGTTATTAGTAATACAGCATATTTTTGTTTTTCCTTTTAATATCTTTAAGTAGTTGTACAAAGGAATTGCCATTACACCATATTTTAATGTTCTAATACATGCATTTGTTAAAAGACATATATTTAAGATTAGAAACAATAAGAAAAACTCAATATATTTGATATACTATTGTCTTTTTGAGGCAAATTGCAAACATTACAGAAGACACAACATCAGTTCATTTTAGTCATGGTGAATATTCTCAGAAGCCCCAAAACTAGTGCCTGGTAGAAGATACTATACAAACATGAAAACAAGGCAAAGACATGAAAAAAATCAGTCTGTAGAATAGACAACAGAATATTTCTTCAGTCTAACGCTCTCCCAGCTGAGCTATCTCGGCAAGTTCGACAACAGAATATTTAACCTTAGCATATAACTATACAATCAGTTTGTTTCCTATAGAAATTCCTATTGTCAGATGGTAGATGACAACATAATAAATAGAGGGAGAGAAGAAAGTAGAGGTAAGTAAAAACTTTTCCTTTGGGCTTGATGAGTGTGCATTTGATAAAATCACTACTTTCCACAGAAAATTAGAAGAGAAATGAATGTCAGTCATTTCTGGTTCCCTTGCCTATGCTATTCTCCCTTCCTGTAAGCCTTTTCTGCTTTCTGAGTCTGCTGCCCCCAGCCAGACTCTTCCTCTTCTAGAAGAAAAATCTAATAAGCACTAACACTTCAGAATGAATTGTTTTTACCTCATCACTTCTAAAATTATTGTTTAATAGGGTATTTCTGGTCAGGATATGAATGTTTTATAGATCTAAAGGCAAATAATATTGAGTGTTCCAAGTCCTAGTGAAAATAGCGCTCTAAAAGTATTTAAAGCAATTTTTCATTTGCAAAACTTGAAATTATACATTTTATTATACTATGATTTCCAAGCACATCATTTATTTAATATACTATCTCCCTTCTCCTCTCTAAAGATCTAAAATTTAGAATGGAATTCAGAACAAAGTTTACAGAAGGAATTCCAGGTACTAGTAAAATGCTATGTCATCACTCTACCTACTGGCAATACTTCCAAAAAGTTGCCTAAAGATATGTCTAGGAAAACGAAATCCTTCCAGACATAAATTACACACGAAGTATTTTGTTGACTAAACATTTGCTATATTCTTGTTACTAGCTTCAACAACCTTTAGCGTCAATGGATCTTTAGTACCTTTTAAGATACATACAGTATAAGTATAAAATGTTAATTTTTATATAAAAGAATTTTCATTTTTATTTGTTTAAACTTTGAGTAAGTTTGACAAACTGAGAAAAAACTGGGAATTAAAAATCTTTTTCCTTAGGGTTATTACCAACAGGCTGAGTAAATTTCAATACTGGTAGATGATTTGTTCAATTTGGGTACCATTTAATGGTAAAGACTTGTGCTTGATGCCCTGTTTATCATTAATACTAGTACTTAAAAGAATTAAACTAATTTCAATGTCTAAGCCAAATAATTAGTAAATGGAAGTACTTTTTACTGTAAGCTATACATTTGTTCAAATAAAAATTATTTTGACAGATTACTCTTTTGTGTCTTGTGTTACCATCCCATGATATCCACACATCACAGCAGCTATCAACTCCACTCTCAAATCGTAAGAATAATCTATTGTGTACTATCTAGCTCACTGTTCTTAGGTACTTAAAAAATGCCTTTCATACTATTAGTTATTAACCTTGTCTTGATATAAAAAAAAACAAAACCTAAAAAAAAAACAAAAACAAAGCTCCCAGCTTTTCTGAAGTTCGTTCTAAGCTATGTGACCTTTAGCTTCAGTTCCTTCTCGATTTAGACACCAACTCATTGGTCATCAATAGGAAGAAAAATGAGTGTTACATAAATCAATGTTTCTTAGACTGAGAACTACAAACCTATACAGACACATTCTAAGAATCTAAAAGTCCTCTTCAGGATTTTTCAAATTGTTTTAATTACAATGATCATCTAGAAGAGATCTGCAAGATAATTAAAATAATCAAATGATAGCCAAGTATAGCTTTGGGATGTTAGTGTCCAAACATACATTAGGTTGATAACTACACTGGTGACAAGCAGTAGGTACTGTAGCTTTCAAGAGGTTAGTGAGAAAAGAACAGGAGCTGATCGTATGCAGTGACCTATTCTAAGAGAAGACTGAATGAGAATTGGGACAGTATAAGAATAAAGGTTTGTGGCAAGTCTGCAGAACCATGGGTCTACCACCCTTAATGCTATTCAAGGTGCCAGTGAGTCAGTTTTACCAAAAGCATATCATCTGGCACATAAATGTCATTATTTTTTTTTGAATTTCGGCATTATTTGCATTTTCTTTCTACATCCACTTTAGTTTTGTGTTTCTCAGAACCAAGTTTAATTCATTTTGTTTCTATATTTTAAAATGTACATTATAATAAAAAATTTTAAATCAGAACTCAGGAATCTATAAGAATTCCCTTTCTCTATAAAGAGGTTCCCAGTAACCTAAAAGTCATTATGTATATACATTGTATTTTGTTGTTGTTAAGTCTTGTCTTTTTAAAGTTCAAATTGCTCCTGCTAAGAAAATTAAATGCCAAGTAATCTCAGTTTCTAGGAACGCCTGAGGCAGGATTTCAATGTTAAGGCATCTGTGTAACTTAGCAAGGCTTTATTTTGAAAGAAAATTGTCATATGGCTGAGGATGTAGTTCAGTGGAATGGCCTAGCATGTATGAGATTCTGGGTTTCAATTCCTAGTATTGGAAAACAAAAACAAAACAAAAATGTAAAGGAATGGTTGAAAACATGCTATCCCTACGGTACATAACACAGGAAAGGGTCCTGAGGACAACTGGACAAGTTTAAGTAAGAACATGAACTAAAGACTCATTTAAGGAGGCAATACAGAGTCTCACTAGAAAGGAAAGCAGCAGAGGAAGGAAGGGATACCAATAAAAAATTGTCTATTACATGTAGTGGCTTGAAAAGGCGCAGCATAACTGACCTTGTTCAGGGAAGACATGGAGTAATATAAGTTAGGTTAACTATGTTACAGCTAAAATTTAAATATGTCATGCTAGAGAAGACCAATGGGAATGGATTATAATCTGGTCAAGGTAGCTTTTCTTTCCTTTTATTTTGTTTTAGCAAAAATAATTTCATTGATATGAAATTATTATGTATTAAGCCAATATGTGTTTTTCCTTTTCAAAAATATTTTTTAGCGCTATGGCAAAAGCAAGGACTTTGCTCACCTAGCTCCTTTGCTGCTTTGAATGACAAAGCTGAGAAACAAAATCTAGGGGAAGTTCCTTTTAAATCCGGCTCTCATAACCTCAGTTACTTTTATTCTTTTTCATTTTACATATTTACAACTTTTACAAAATGTTTAGAAAAAAACAGGTATGGCACAAAGAATTTATAATGTTTGTTGATGGGAGAAAACACCACTCACCCATTGGCCAGTTGTCATACACATGCTTTGCAATGTCAGAAGCAGAATCATTAGGAGAAAACAGGAACTCTTTTGTTTTTCCGCTCACCAGGATGAGGCGCAAATTAATCTGAAAAAAGACAATGGTTTTCTTATTATAAAAACTTTAAGAATGGCTTCATAAAACTTTTCATTTAAGTAAATTATTACCAGTACCATTTGTTTTTTTTTTTGTTTGTTTTTTTAAATTTACTTAACATGATAGGAGGGTGGCTCAGTGGTAGAGTGCTTGCCTTGCATGCATGAGGCCCTGGGTTCAATTCCTCAGCACCACATAGGCAGAAAAAGCAGGAAGTGGTGCTGTGGCTTAAGTGGTAGTGCGCTAGCCATGAGCTGAAGAGCTGAGGGATGGTACCCAGACCCCATGACCGACAAAAAAAAAAAAAATTACTTAAATTCTATTAACTTTATTTAAAAGAAGGAATAGGAATTTGGCATATACCTCTATTTCCTATTATTTAATGTGTGTGGCAGATATATTTACCATAATAAGTGAATAAAACCAAAACTTTATATTTAATTACAAGTTCTACAGGCTATCAATATTACTCTAAAAAACTAAATAAAACCTAATAAAATGTTGGCCCTATATTCCTTATCACTAAACAGATAAAATAGTTTAGGATCCACTGGACAGATATTTCTAAGTCAATATTTATTTGCTTATACGATACCAAATATTGCCCAAAATGTTCTTTAAAATGTTTATCTGCCATAATTAACTTGGTGTTATTTTTTAAATAACCATATGCATTCATTTCCCACAAGTAACAGAAATGCAAGCACTGTTTTCTATAGCTTTGAGTCCCTGCTAAGACTAATAAAGACCTTTCTTTAGTTGAGTCTGCTCCAGATTTGAGTCTTGGGAGTAGGCAACATAACTTACACACAAAGAACAGAAACTTAACATACAGAACAGAACTGCTTTATACAAAGAACAGAAACTGCTGCTGTACAAGTTTGACTTACGCTAAGTCCCAGGTTACTCTAAGTCTCCTCTTCAGTTACTATGGCTATACATTTTTTTCTCACTAAAAATCCCAGAAAAGCTTTAATACACTAGCACCTACTATGAACACACTGCTACCCACTACGGCATCATCAATATGCTAGTCACTGATTTTACTATCCTGGTTATGGCAAGACCATTCCTGGCCATCAACACTTTAAAAATACAGAATTCTATAAAACATCTCCTCTTGAAAATACATGTGCACAAACAATTCAGAATGCAACAGATTCTTGATTTGATGGGGGAAGAGTTGGATTTTACATTAGAACCTGTACTTCTAACAGTATGAACACTTCCAAAATCCTTCTCAATTTATCAGAATTTCTTTATGCCTTGAAATATGACATCAAAGGGCTTAATTTAGAAACAGAAATGATAAAATCACTCTGCTTTCAAGAAGTAAAGCTTAAGCATACCAAATCCAAAAACCTAGAACTTTTAAAAAGTACATTTCAAGATTTTGGATCTTTGAGTTAAGGATGCTCAACAAGTAAACTCTGTGCAAATATTCCAATATCTGCAGAATTTCAAAATTTGAAATATTTCTGGCTTCAACCATTTCAGATAGGGGTTATGTGTAGCATGCAGAAAGTTTGTGTCTTATTTTAAAAGTTCAAATAATAATTGGAAAAACTATTAAATTGTTAAGAAGCACTAATTTTCCTACAGAAAATAAGGAATCAAGATTTTTCTTTAACTTTTTATTATTATCTTCCAGTAGTTGTACAAAAACGTTCCTATTCTACAAAACAGTATATGAATACAAGATATAAGGTGTCTAACAACATTGTCCCCCATCACTCCTAACCCATCCCCCCTTCTCTCACTTTTCTTTTTTAAATTGAGATTAGGTGTTCACATAAATTTCACATATTTCACAGTACTGTGGAATAGTGATACTTAATGTCACAAACACATTTTAGCCTTCACAAGGAAAATGGTCATTATCATGGTCTATATAAAGTCTGTGAATTCTATGAGCTTTGACAATACAACTATTTCTTCCACATCAGGTGATGTTTTACATTTCTTTCCTTTTGCTTAGTATAAGCTGTTCCCTCTTCCCTCTCACTCCTCCCTTCCCATTGCTGTCTTTGGATTGCTTAGTTCATTTTCTTCTATGTCCAGTGCAGCTGGTGGACCCCTTTATTGTATGTTGTTCTGTTTCCCCCTTATTCTTCGTCTTCTTCCTAGCTTCCCTCCATTGCGTGCATCCATGGCTGTCTGTCTGTCTAGCTATCTAATTATCTATCTATACCATATATATATAGTCAAGAACATGGAGTCATTTAACAATGATACAACAAAATGTATGGCTGTCTTTTGTTTCTCTAGAGTTCTGTTTGTCATATCTCCCTGTATTTTGGCTTTAGCATCCACATATCAGGGAGACCATGTGCCATTTGTTTCTTTGTTCTTGGCTTACCTCGCTCAAAATAATTTGCTCTAGTTCCATCCAATTCCCTGCAAATGCCATTATTTTGTCCTTTCTAATGGCTACATCATAAGGAATCAAGACTTTTCAAGGAAGAAAAGTAACATCTGCAATATTGATGAATCTTAGTTCTTATATATATTATTATTATATATATTATATATATTATTAATTTGTATGGAATCTTTTAATGGTGACAAACTACTATATAAGGTTCCCCAGTTGTTAATGCTCATGAAACTATATCCCTTCAGTCATAAGTGTTAAACCAGAAAAACTATAATTCAAGAATCATGTAAATGCTATTAACCTATTATTTCATGGAATCACTTAAGTTTAAAATTAATTCCAAATAGGCTTTTATTCAAATTATACTAACTAGGGGTTGGAGGTGTGGCTCAGATGGTAGAGCATCAGATACCAAGTTCAAGTCCTAGTCTTGGACCCCCTCCCTGAAAGAAACCATTTATCAAGTGAAAAGAGTCTGAAAGCAGAAACCAAAGCATACTTTTGATTATCCTTGATGTCTAAAAATATGGAAATGTAAAAATAAGTTATGGTATGTCTTTACCCAGGAAATCTATAGAGCTGTTAAATGACATAAATGCTGATGTATTTGATATGGAAAGCTGTTTACACAACAAATTTAAGTGAAAAATAACTGGCTATAAAAAGGTATTGCAAAAAAACCAAAAGAACATACACTGAATTGCTATGGATTGGCTTAGGTTCTCCTAAATCCCTATACTGAAGACCTAACTTTCCCAAATACCTGGAGACAGGTACAGGGTCTTCAGGAGGTAGGTAGGTTAAATGAGGCCCTAAGAATAGGGTTGTAATATGTAGGGCTGTAGTTCTATAAGTTTGGGAAAGCTCTCTCTTCTTTGTCAGTTACTCTCTCTTCTATACTTTCCTTTTAAAGCATGCATTTCCCTATTTCATGATGTTTCTAACTACCAATGTTGTTTTTTTTAAAAAAATATATTGTATTTCAACATTAGGACTTGTACATCTCATTGTTGCAATAATGTTGAAAAACGAACTTTACAACTTTGGGGGGGAGGGGAAGGGATGGGAAGGGGAAACAAAGGAGGAGGCAACAATGCTTGATAAGAAATGTACTCATTACCTTGTCCATGTAATTGTAACTCCTCTGTATGGTATTTTCACAATAAAAATTTTTAAAAAATATTGTAAAGGTGATATTCAGAGAGGCTACAGTCAGGGAGTGAGTGCATTTCTTTTTGAACAATGTCATCCCCTCCCTCATTTTCTCCCGACTATTGTTTTGTTGGACAATCAAAACAACTTAAATGCATGAGGTCCTGGGTTCAACACCCAGCACCAAATTAAAAATAACAATAAAAACTACTAATTATTATTTGAGTTTCTTTGGTTTTTAGGAAGCAAGTGCCGACTGGAAAAGAAAGAGACAAGATTCAAAACCTGACTTTAGTGACTGGGCTCTATATCAAATGAGCAATGTAACATGTAGAAAGAGTGAATAATATTTTCCTGATAGTACTGAGGATATAGGGGCATTAACAGGAAAGTACCTCAGTCTTCAACTTTTTGGGCTCTGGATCTCTACTGTCAGCAACATGCCACGCTTAATTATTTAGAAAGGCAATCTGGAAAAACAAAATTAATTCAGAGCTACCATATTAGCATATATTGGGCCTAGTTTTCAAGCGAAGATTATGACTATGTTATTGTTTTGGAAGATTAATAGCTTGTTCTTGTCTTGGTCCTTTATGCATCTAAGAACAAACATTCCTATAATAAAAGTATGATTCTACCCCAGTCTGGAGCCAAATATATCAATGAAGGAAAACACTGAATTTCTATAATTTCCTATGGAACAAACTTTAAAGCAATTACCCAGAAAAACATCTGGATATACAGGCTGGTCAATACTGAATTGTTCCTATACTATAGTAATAATCTTCTCAGGCTTATTTGAGATGTCATTTATAAGTTCTCTCAGTATTATAGGACAATTTCTATAAATATTAACTCTTTAAAATAGCATTACTTATTATTTTAATAGTTACTAATGGAATTTTTTTAATTTTGTGAAGCCAAATTAAGTCTCTAAACACTATACCTCCTAAGATTCTTCTTTTTATGGGAGGGGAAGGGATGATGGGAATGACCAAGGGTCTTTTGGGGACAGCACCCATGCTAGTCAAACAACGTCCTCAATGTGGTCAATGTGGAGATAGTCTCTTGGACTTTTCTGCCTGGGCTGGCTTGGGCTGTGATCCTCAGATCTCAGCCTCCTGAGTAGATACAATTACATATATGAGCCATTGGCACCAAGCTTCAACACTTTTTTTGAGAGAGGGTCTCCCCAGGCTGACCTTGAACTTAGAATTCTTCTGCCTCTGCCTCCTGAGTGTTGGGATTACAGTTCTGTACTACCATGCACCACCAAGACTCTTTATAGTTTGATATGTTATATACATTTGTGCATATATTTCTTTTAAAAAACAACCCTACTACTCAAGATGGCTTGGATGGAACTCAGACAGAGATCTTAATATGTAATAAAATTGTCAGGAAATATCTACTTCATTTGTACAAATGAAGTAGTTAGCTAATAATTATTTTTGAGGCAAAA